GAGCAGGGAGCCCGATGCGGGGCTCGATCCCAGGACCCCGGGATCATGACCTGAGCCGAAGGCAGACACTTAACGACTGAGCCACCCAGGCGTCCCTTTTTTCTTTCTTTTTTTGCGAGTTCTTTGAGCCCTACAGTCACCAAGTCTTTCCTAGACAACAGTAGACAGCTTCCCGTTTACACAGGTGCACACAGACAGCCGCATCCACGGGCACATACATGGGTACAGATGTGCACACACATGTGCATGCAACTTCAGCCTGGCAGTGAGAAGTGTAGTTACCCAGGTTGTGCAAAAAGTGTCTTAATTGCACATTGTTTTCACTGTGCTTATCTTCTCGGCTGGCTTGTGGTTTTAGTGAAGTGGGTTTGACTCACACTTAGTTTGTGTCCTGTGTGTGGGCATGGGCCCTGGTACATGGTTCGGGGCAGTCAGTTTCAGTTGCAGGCAATGTGATTGGCAGCACAGATTCGGGTTCTCCGTGGGCCTGGAGGGACACTGACTGGCAGCTCACCTTGTTCCCAGCACGGGTCAGATGGGGCTGGGGGCCTCCTTCCCCAGCACATCCTCTCAGGCTGCCGAGTGCCCCTGGATTGGCTGAGAGCAGCTCTGACCTCCGTTACTGCAGAACAGTGTAAGACTTGCTGTAACCAAGTGTGGGTGCGGTCCCTGGTCATCATGGTCTGTCTTCTCAGCACACACGGGTGCCTTTGGGTGATGGCGGTTGTGTTTTGTCCTCAGCACCAAGAGTGTCCGGGCCCCACGGGAGGTGCCGAGGAAGTGGCTGAGAACCGCCATCCCAGGGGCCTGCGCCGTGCTTGCTGGGCTGCTACTCTGGGGCAGTCTGAGGGGTGATGGTGGCGTCACTGAGGTCCTGGCTCACCGTGGCGAGATGCTACCAGGCAGGTTCATCGAGGTGCCCTGCTCAGAGGACTATGACAGTCACCGAAGGTTTGAAGGTAGGCGATGCTGCTGCAGTCCGGGAAAGAGCAGCACGTCAACATGGAACGTGCTGTGTCTGAGATGCGTCCGTGTTCTGCTGCAATGAATTGGTTGGAATCAGATTGAAAGTGGGTGGGGGCCGGGGGGTATGGGCGAACTTTCCCTCCTTCAGGTGGGTTAACGCACACCTGGACTGGGAAATGCAGGGGCAGGCCTGCCGGTCACCGAGGCTAACATTTTACCAAGGTGCCCTGCACTCTGCTGGAGAGACAGTTTGCCTGGAGGCACACAACGGAATTGGAAAGGTAAGGAAGAGAAAGCTGAAACGAGAAAGGTCTTTGGCTATAGAGTGTTATAGAGTGTTGTCGCTGCAGAAAATGTTGCAACAAGAAATGTCACTACTGGGGACGCCTGGGGGGCTCAGTCGTTGAGCGTCTGCCTTCAGCTCAGGTCATGGTCTCAGGGTCCTGGGATTGAGTCCCGCATCGGGCTCCCTGCTCGGTGGGAAGCGTGCTTCTCCCTCTGCCTGCCGCTCCCCCTGCTTGTGTTCTCGCTCTCTCTCAAATAAATAATAAAATCTTAAAAAAGAAAAAAAAAGAAATGTCACTACCAGAAGCCCTTCCCCAGGTCGAGTGTCCCATGGGGGGGCGGGCAGGAAGGCAGGAGGGGGCGTGGTGCCCAGAGGCACCCATTGGGTTCGGCACCCCGGAGAGCCCAGGACCTCAGTGCCAGTGGGCTTTAATTTCTCACACATTCCTCGCTGCTGGGCACTTTCTCCGTTTTAAAAACCTAGCCTGCACGACTGTCTTAAAGACAGAATTCTGTTCATTTTTTCATTGAGAGTAGTGCTCTGGACTGAACTGGAAGAAGACTGCCCAGTGCTTCCACCGAGTGGCGCCCGCGGGCCAGGGCTCCACCTCCCTCGCCCGTGTGGATGCCCTCCCTGTCTCTCTCAGCCTTTCCCTCTCCTGTCCCAGCTTCCAAGAAAGTATTTCTCTGCAGTTAGAGCTGAAGTTTCTCTTCTCACACACTTAATAATTTAGCAACACTAAAAGTTTGCACGAGGGGGTGGGGGGATTGGGAGTTATTATTATTTAGCAATGTGGGGTTCCAGTTTGGGAAGCAGAAAAAATCCTGGAGACGAATAGTGATGATGTTGGCACAACACTATGAATGTAAAATGGTAAATTTTGTGTTATGTATATTTCCACAATACCAAAAAATAGTTGAGGTCTATTTAAAGCTTCTGGACTTCTCTCCTGCCCCTCAAGCTGGAGGGGCTTCTACTTTGGGCAAGGGGCTCCTGATGAGACAGAGGCTCGACCCCTGTGGGGGTGTCTGGACAGAGCACCACACCGTGTGTGTGTGTGTGTGGAGTGTGTGCTCATGCCCTGATAAGTCAACCATCCAGAATTCACTTTTTCACCCAAATTATACTCTTGACCCTTACTCATGTTGAACACTCTGTTCCTACTGGGTTTCAGCATTTCAAAATTCATGGGGTTTTGGTTCTCTCTTTTTAAAAATCAGTTTCTAACCTAATTGCCTTGTAGCTCAATAATATATAATCTGTATGATATAGGTCCTTTGATATTGGCTCAGACTTTCTTTTTTTTTTAAGATTTTATTTATTTGACAGAGAGAGACAGCGAGAGAGGGAACACAAGCAGGGGGAGTGGGAGAGGGAGAAGCAGGCTTCCCGCGGAGCAGGGAGCCCGATGTGGGGCTTGATCCCAGGACCCTGGGACCATGACCTGAGCCGAAGGTAGACGCTCAGACTGAGCCACCCCGGCGCCCCTGGATTTTTTTTTTTTAAGATTTTTATTTTAATTGAGACACAGAGAGAGAGAGAGTGCACAAGCAAGGAGGAGGGGCAGAGGCAGAGAGAGAGGGAGAAACGGGCTTCCCGCTGAGCAGGGAGCCCAACTCGGGGCTTGATCCCAGGACCCCAGGATTATGACCTGAGCTGAAGGCAGACGCTCAACGACTGAGCCACCCAGGCGCCCCGAGACTTTCTTTTTTTAAAGAGTTATTTATTTGAGGGAGAGAGAGAGCACCCGCGTGCACGCATGCTCATGAGCAGGTGGGGGGGCAGAGGGGGAGAGAGCGAATCTCAAGCAGACTCTGAGCTGAGCGTGGAGCTGGTTGTGGCTCGATGTCACGACCCTGAGATCATGACCTGAGCTCAGACACTCAATCGACTGAGTCACCCAGGTGCCCCTCAGACTTTCTTTTTGACCTAATATGTTTTTGTTAATGTTCTACGTATACCTGGAAAAACGTTTTCTAATGGTTGCATGCAAAGTTCTCCGTGATTCTCCCAGTCTCTTAGTCTGCATCCTCACGGACTTCTGTCTCCTTTATGCATCAATTACTGAGAGAGGCGAGCAGGCATCTCCACCGTGCCTGTGGGTCTGGCAGCTTCTCCTGACTGGTCTTTCGTGTTGGCTGTTTCTTATCTGAGATGATAGTATCTGGTGCTGTTTGTCATGTCTTCATCTTCCTGGTGAATTGTTCTGTCACTTCTAAACATGACCCTCTTTTTCCCTGTAATGATTCTTCTGTCTTAAAGCACAGTAGTTACACAGATATCACTCTCCAAGCTTTCTTTTGATTGTCGTTGTATTTGCTTTTATTTTTTATCTTTCTGTTGTCATTTTGTTTAGGGAGTAACCCTTATAAAAAGCATACATGTGGCTTTTGTTTATAATGAAAACACCTGTATCAGTGGGATGGTATTTTGCCTCCTGGAACTGAGGCACCTCTCCCCTGATGGCCCCCAAGTAGAAGTTTATTTTTCCCACACAACAAGGCACGGAGAAAGGCCCCCCAGACTGGCCTGGTGCTCTGTGAGCCCCTCAGCACTTAGACTCAGTGTGTGGCTCACCTGGTCCCAGGACACCCACTCTACCTCCAGGCACCAGGCTCACGTTCCAGACAGCAAGGGGGAAGAAGGATGAAAAGCTAGAGGTCAGCCAGCCCACCCTGTCCCAGAGTGTTGCTCGGCTCCATCTCATTGGCCAAGACCTGTATGAGGGAGCTGGCCCGCCCTGTGTGCTGAAACACCAGGGGTTTGCTCAGCCCTCTGTCTGATGCTTTGCCTCATCCTGGCCCCATCCACCTGACCCTGGTCTCGGCGCCATCCGAGCTTCTCCACCTTCCTGCCCCTAAGCAGCTGCACATCCCGGGTGCAGAGAGATGGAGGGAGTGCAGGGTGGGACACATGGTGAGCACCTTTGGTTTGCCGGGCCCCTGGGACAGGACGGTGACCAGAATTACAAGCACAGCTTCAGTTGTCCCCGAAGGGCTTTCTCACGGGGGCTTAGGAAGTCTGGATCTGTGGTCCTAGATTGTCATGGATACTGCCTCTGGCTCAGGGATCTCTTCCCAAGGGTAAGCACCTGCCTGGCATGGGGCCACCAGGAATGTGCTGTGTCCAGCCAGGTGTCGGTATGTCCCGCAGAGGATGCACTTACACCGAAAAGATCATTGTTGCCTCTCTGAAATTCACACCTATGTGGGTGTCCTGTATTTTATTTGCCAAATCTGGCCCCCTCATCCTGTGGAAGGCACGGCCCCACAGAGTTCCCCTGGGGAGGGCCACCTATAGGTAAGTCCTCAACAGATTCAGCATGGGGTCAGCATCTCCTTCTGGCTCCTCTCTCCCCAGGCTGCTCGCCCAGGAAGTGTGGACGGGGCATCACTGACACTGTCATCACCAGGGACGAAGCCCAGCGGATTCGCAGGTACCCAAGCCTCTTCTGTCCCGAACAAATGGGAAAGTGGGGCTGCAGGACAGGAAGCAGACGGTTTTTACTAAAAAAACAACGTAAAGAAATTCATTTAGAATTCCTAAGCATTTCTCGCGTGCCTCCAAGGGCAAAAGCAGGCTTCTCCAGTTTCCAGGAGCAAAGGGTGTTCCCCTCAGGAATGCTGCTGCTGCTGCTGGAACCCGCCGAGGCCCAAGCCCTCTTCAGGGGAAGTGGGTCTGACCTGGATAGGAGGTCTAGGAGATGCTGCCTCCTCAGCTGTTGGGGAGACTGTGGGTGCCCTGTGCAGACGTGCCCCCTGCAACAGGGGCTCACAAGAGCGCGGTGCAGTCTCTGTGCCTAAGCTGGCTGGGCATTAGCCCTTGGGCCGACCAGCCGTGACTGGCGTCGGGGCGGGAAGTCTTACTCAGATGCAGCCGACACTGGATTTTTCTTTGTTGGGATTTTAAAAACAAGATCTTAAAGCTTTGATTTTGCAACAAATTGTTCAGACACGAGAGCTGTTTAGACACAGGTGCAAGGTGGAGCGGCGTCTGCCCTCAAGCTGCCTTCAGCCTATGTCCCAGCTGCCCGTCCCAGCAGGGAGACGCTCCTCCTGTTTCTAGATAACAGTGTAGGGGCTCGTTGGGCAGGAGTCACTGGAGTCGGGTTGACCCATCCCCAGGGACCCAGTGGGAGTAGCTCAGCCCATTTGGGTGGGCACCAGCTCTTGGTGCTAAAGATGGAAATTAAGCCTACTTGTTTCTAATCTGTCATATTTAATTAACAAGATGGTGAGGAAATATTACCATTTACTCATTTAGCTTTGAAAATTGAGTCCTTTGGTCTGAACATGTGTTTATATTGCAAATATTAAACAATCTATTAACATTACATGAATCATGCTGGTTATTTGCCTAGATATATCACAGACAATTCTACTAACTAAATCCTGAATATAATGACCTTCCCCCACAGCATAGCCGAGAAGGGGCTGTCCCTGGGAGGATCTGACGGAGGGGTGAGTTCCTGCTTCAGTTTTCTTTCTGCCCCTTTAACTTGCTGTCCGTCCAGGAGCAAGGAGGTGTCCCCCCACATCGCCAGTGTGGACAGGCCACATTCAGGGGGCACAAGAGTGTCCCCGCTCTTCACAGGGAGTTGCAGCAGCCTGCTCCAGATCTGGGGCCCCCGCTGGGGGCAGGCGGATCTGGTCTCAGACAGTGAGCTGACAGAGGGTGAGTTAGGAGCCCAGTGAGGAGGGTGGCCAGCCCTGGAAGCGGGAGGGGCTCCTGGGACACGGTGACGCACATGCTCCCCAGCCTCCAGGCTGGAGGCCCCACAGACACGGTGTGGGCACTGTCATCCATGTGTGTGAGAGTGCAGGGGCCCAGCGGGGGGGGGGGGGGGGGACGGACGTCCCAGGGGATCTCATAAACAGTGCGTCCACCCAGAACCTGGGGATAGGACCTTATTTGGAAAAGGGGTCTTTACAGATGCCATGAAGTTAAGGGTCTGAAGATGAGGTCATTCTGGATTGGGGTGGGCCCTAAATCCAATGGCAAAAGTGTCCTTATGCGAGAGAGGCAGAGAGAGACTTGTGGAAGAGGAGAAGCCGCAGGAAGACAGAGGTGGAGGGATGCAGCCATAAGCCAGGAGACCCCTGGAGCCACCAGAAGCTGGAAGAAGCAGGAGGAGTCCTCCCTTAGAGCCTTCAGAGGGAGCGTGGCCCTGGCCACACCTTGATTTTAGGATCTCTGGCTTCAGTAGCTGTGAGGAGACAAATTCCGGTTAGTTTGAGTCCCCGGTTTGTGGTGATCAGTCACAGCAGCTGCTGGGCCAGGGCAGCCCTGTGTCTCATCTGCCTCCTGGGCAGCGCCTGGGGTCCTGTTCTTATGAGCACCGCACATTAGCTTGCATTCCCCTGTGGTGTCCTGAATGTGGGTCTCCACCCAGCGTGTGAAGCTGTGGAAGATAGTCTTCTCTGCATTGTTTGGCGATGGCTGAATTATCGCCATTACGCGGACCCGGATCAGTCTACATGTTTGAAAGTCCTGGGAAGATTAGTTTATGGACTTTGCTAGAATTTCTAAGTATCTCTATGATTATCTGCATGACTTTATTTTATTCTGCAAAATTTCCCCCAGAGTTCCGAAAATTAAGCTCCTTTTATTTCAGTTTGGTTTGAATCAGGGGTAGCATTTATTAAAAACCCATTTGTGCATGGACTCATCTCTTATTCTTTGTTGGGCATTCCCTCAGGAAGTTGTCTTGCAGCAAAGGAACCAGATTTGATGCCTTTAAGTTCAGTTAACATTTATTAAGCTCAAATTATGTTCAAACCCCTGGGCTGATCACTGCACCAATTAGGAGAAATATAGTAGCTTCCAGATAGTGTAAAAATGGTCCCTGCTGGTGACCACTTTTCCCGGATGGGGCGGAAGACCCACAGAGGTGGGGTGGGCAGGGGTGCAGAACACTTTGACAGTGTTTTAGAAAGTAGGACCCAGCAATTCCACTTCTGGGGATTTACCCAAGAGAATGAAAGCATCTGTCCACACAGACTTGTCTGCCAGTGTTCAGGGCGGCTTAATTGGTGATAGCCCCAAACTGGAAACAACCCACATGGTTGTGTTACCCCAAACCATGGAGTGTCCTCAGCAATAAGATGGGATGGATGTCTGTGGACACAACAGCATGAGCGAACCAGAGTGGTGATGCTGAGCAGCAGGAGACCCAGAAAGAGTGCATCCCACATGATTACATTCACATACAATTTTAGAAAATGTGCATCAGTCTGTGACGGTAGGAAGCACATCAGTGGTTGCCTGGGTGGGGAGGAGTCGGGGGAGAGAGGCAGGATGGCAGAGGGTATGAGGACATTCTGGGATGTGGTTGTTATCTTGATGGTGATGGTGGCTCAAGGGTATGTGACATCAAAGCTTATCAAATTGTGCAGCTCATCTGTCCCTTACACCTCAACAGGGCTGAAGGAGCGAGGGTGGGCGGGGTGTGATTCAGCTGCAGGAGTTCACAGGTCTGTGGACTGTTTTCAGAAAATCAGACTGGGCGGGAGAGAATGAGATCTGTCCTGTACATACCCTGGGTCCCCTGTCTTGAAACCCGGCATGGCCTCCCGGACCCAGGGTGAGGGTGGGCTGGACCTCAAGGCCCCTGCCGCCCTGTGCTCGTCTTTTCCAGGCATCCGTCTTGGACTTGCACTCAGGGGCCCTGTCTGTCGGGAAGCGCTTTGTGAATCTGTACAGGTGAGAGCCCTGAGGGGCTGCAGCCCTCCCTGCACCCCTGTGCATTTCTTAGCTGGAACTGGGGGTATGGCCCTTCTCAGGGGGCGGGATCCTTGTTCACCAGCTGCAGGGAACAGCCTGGGGCTCCATCGGAGGCTTCTCCGGGGCCTTCTCCGGAAAGCGGGACCTTCCTGAGGCCGAGGGACAGCCAGAGGGAGAGGTGGGGGGGGTGAGAGGCTGGGCAGGCCCTCAGGAGAGCGGGAGAGTCCGGTGGGACTCCGATCCTCCCTGAGGCCAGAGAAGCAGAGATTCTCCCAACCTTGGTGCTCACATTGACTTCCGTCCCTTTAATCACGTGGTTATCACTGGAGAAACAGATCAGCGCCCAGGAGGAAACAACGAAGCTAAAGGAAGTGGGGAAAAGATTCAAAGATTATAATAAAGCGTTGACAACAGACGTCCAATGAAACGTTACATTTGTTAACAGCCTATTTTTTCACAGATACTTTGGAGATAAAATACAAACCGTCTTCTCAGAAGAGGACTTCCGGTTGTACAGGTGAGGAGGAAAGCGGTCATGACGTCAGACGTGGAGGCAGGGGGCGCAGGCTGAGTGGGGAGGGCGGAGGGTCGGTGCCGCGGGAGCCCCGCCCAGCCAGGGGCAGAACCCAGGCGCGCCACGCCCATCACGGCCACACCCACCCAGCTGCAGGGCCACGCCCACCATCCGCTGCTCAAGGGCCTAGGCCACGCCCCAGGCTAGGCCACACCCACCCACGCCCTGCAACCGTGCCCACCCATCTTCACCCCGCCCACCAGCCCACGCCACGCCCCTGGGCACGCCCACTTGTCCGAACCCACCGTGATCGCGCCTTCCCGACCCTGCCCATCCCACCACAGCACCGAGTCCATGCCCACTGACCACGTCCACCCACCCAACCCTTGCCCTCAAAGACCACCACCCGGCCATACCCACCTGACCACCACCTCTCCAGACCACGCCCGCCCCATGTCCACCCCAGCTGAGGGCTTGTGCATGTCCCTGGGGTATGTGCCACAGCCCCTGGCTTGTCGTGGGCACATTGTGAGCAGAGGGTCTCACGAAGGCTGAAATGCACAGTTCACTTTATCAGAGTCCGGGCAGGTGGACGCAGGGGTGGTACCTCTCTGCCCCGGGGGCCAGGCCAGGGAACCCATGGACCGCATGAGTGTCCCCAGAAATACTGAAGGGAGGGGGCTTGTCTGGGTTGGCCTCTTCTCCCAGCTCCGTGGTTTTTCTCCTTCCCTGACACTCTGTGCAGCCAGGGCCGACTGGCAGAAAGTACTAGAACAGCTGTGAGTGTTACACTCTGCACTAGCGTCCAGATCGCTTCGGGCTAGGAGGTGGTGCACAGGGCAGCACCTGCCTCAGTCGCTGTGGGTCCAGCCAGGCCATCGAGCCCACACGACCCTGTGGCAGGAGCAGGCCCGTGGAGGCCTCGTGCGCCCCCCGTCTGTCCAGGGCTGCTCCCTGCTCCTCGCAACAGCTCACGTGGAGGGAGGCAGAGCCAGCCTCCGCGGGTCCAGCAGCTCTTGCAACAGCCCCACGAGCAGCCCAGGGTGCTGCAGGGGGCCGTGCCCTCTCAAGTCACATCACACATGCTGGCGCCAGGAACGGCCCTCCTGCCCTGACAGCGCCCCTCACTGCGGAGTGGCTTTCTTTAATTAAAACTTATAATTTTTAGATAATCAAGACTCACAGACTGTTTGGGGAAATAACGCAGGGCGATCCCATGTACCCTTCACCCAGTTTCCCCCAACGGCAACAAGTTGGTGTGAGCAGAGCAGGGCATCGCCCCCAGGAACCGGCCCCAGTGCTGCCCCCACCGTCTTGCTCAGAATCCCTGGTTCTACCTTATTTGTGTGAGTGTGTGCAATTCTGTCCCCTGGGTTGGTCATGTAAGGGCTGCCAGTCACGGTACCGAGCGTCTCGTTGCCACGCGGACCCCCACGTTGCCCTTCTGTCCCCTCGGCCCCAGCACCCGTCCCTGACCAGCAACCAGCGGGCCCATTGCTACCGTAGCCTCGAGGCCTGGAAACAGCTGCTGCTTCCCCTTGGTGATGTTTCCAGGGAGACAGCCGGGCTCCTGGTCCAGAGAGAAGCGAAGGGTCGGGGTGAACTTGACATGCAAATTGTAGCAGCAGTGAGCGGTGCCCTTGACCCCTGCCACGCACTAGTGACCTCACTGGGTCGGCCTTAAAGTCTGGGCCTGGAGCGAGGCCGGGTTTCGCAGCACAAAAGGGCCAGGTGACCAGCGGTGCAGGAGCCTGGTCTGCAATCACCCCGTGCCTGGTTTACTGTGTTTACGGTGTTTACTGTTAAGTGAACAGCGTGCGTCAGTATTTTTTTTTTTTTCCAAAGATTTTATTTATTTATTTGACAGAGAGAGACACAGCGAGAGAGGGAACACAAGCAGTGGGAGTGGGAGAGGGAGAAGCAGGCTTCCCGCCGAGCAG